TAAAATACTTTTATTGTGGCATTAAAAAAAAAAATGGAGAAAGAAAATATCAACGCATGAAAAATCAAAAGAAAATAAAACCTCAAATTAAAAAAAAAAAAACTCGTTATCATGGAAATTATTTTCGTTTCCAAAAATAAACACAATAATAATAATAATTTTTCAAAGTTTCTTTTTCCACTGGACAAAATAAAAATATAAAAAAAAATTTTTAAACAATTTAATTAATTATCATTAACGTCGTCGTCGTCGTCGTCGTCATGGTCGATAAGAAAATAATTTTAATTATATTTAAAATCGTTATTATCGATTTACTGGAATGAAATATGAGTCCTCCCCCCTCCCCCTGCTTCCTTCCTTCCTGGAAAATGAATACGTCGTTATCGATAACAAATATTTAAATTTTTTTTTTTTTTTTTTTTTTTTTATTCCAGTTAATTCCGTCGCCAGTCGTCGTGAAAGTAAATTAAAACTTTTTAAAACGAACGTAAAAATATTATTTTACAGTTTGATTATAATGACACACGTTCGTTATTACACAATTATTATTATTATTATTATTATTATTATTAAAAACCGTTCGGTCCGTGAAATTTTATACGCCCCCTTTTTTTTTTTTTTTTTTTTTTTTTTTCATTATCCATTACGTTTAAACTTTTATATCGTTATCGTTAATATCCCCCATTATAATAATTATTATTATTATTATCATCATTTACGATTTATGTATTTATTCACCTTGAATCGTATTAATAACTAATAATAATAATAATGATAATAATAATAATAAAATTTTAATGGGTATCGTATTTTTGTTTTTTTTTTTTTTTTACTCTGTCTGGAACCTCATCATTCCAAAAAATTTAAATTTTTCATTAAAAAGAATAAATAAATAAATATGGCGCCGTTTTTTAAAGTTCAAAAGTAAAAAATAAAAAATAAAATTTAATGTTCCAGAAAATGTTTTGGAATTTTATAAACAAAAAAAAAAAAAAAAAGTTTTTCAAGTGGGCAAAGTATGGATGAATTCAAAAGACGGGAAAAGGGGATGCAAAAGAAAATCATAAATTTTAAAAGTATATAAAATTATTTTTGCAAATGAAAATCCCGTCGCGTGTATGGTTATTATTATTATTATTATTATTATTATTATTATTATTATTATTATTATTATTATTTTTGGAAAAACATTATCTTCTCTATGAAAAAATCGTTAAACAAATTTTTATTTCCCGACTGTAAGTAAGTTATTATTTAAAAAATATAAAACCTGAAGAAAAAGTTTTGTTTTTCCATAATAACAAAAGAAAAAAACAAGAGAGAGAGAGGGAGGGAGGGAGGGAGACAGGCAAAGAGAGAGAGAGAGAGAGAGGCCGAGAGGAAGTTAATTTTTTGGCAACACAAAAAAGAAGCAAAAAAAAATAAAAAATAAAACGATAAAAAACTGACCTTTCCAAAAATGGCGTTTTTTTTTTGTTAATTCCACGTTCGATTTATTCGTTTTTAAAAAGGTTAATTACACGTTTCATAATCGAAAATTTTTTTTTTTTCTCGAACCGGTTTTTTTTTTTTTTTTTAAATTTTGTTTTAATCGTTTTAATTTAAAAATTTTTTTTTTCATTATTATTATATCCAAATTTCGAAAAAAATTTAATACGAAACCAATTATTATTATTATCATCATCATCATTATCTATTTGCGAATGTAAAAAAAAAAAAAAAACGGCCATTTTGGTATTTTTATCCCATTCCGAATTGAATGATAATTCTCATTGAAGTTTTTAATAAAATATCATTCTCGCGGTTCCATAATAGGAATTAAATAAACACGTGTTGTACGCGGTAAATCGGGGGGGGGGGAGAGGGGAGGGTTAAAAAACAAGTCATGGAGAAGAAATTTCTTTTTGGAATTCGCTCTACGATCGTTAGGTAATAATAATAATAATAATAAAAACCTTTGACGTAAATGGAAAACCGTGTAATTTAAATTAATTACAATTCGATGATTGTTTTTAAATAAAAAAAAAAAAATTTTCCATAAATAATCCCTTTTTTTTTTTCAAATAACAATCCCTCCATATTTTACCTCACACTCTCTCTCTCTCTCTCTCTCTCTACCTCTAAAAACCTGTCTTTTTCTCTCTCTCTCTCTGTCTTTAACAATTTGTCTCTCTCTCTGTCTGTAACAATTTGTCTCTCCTTCTCTCACTCTTTCTATTTCTAACAAACTGTCTCTCTCTCACTCTTTCTGTTTCTAACAGTCTCTCTCTCTCTCTTCTGTCTCTAACAACCTATCTCTCTCTCTCTCTCTCTCTTTTTCACTTTTCTTTCTCTTAATTTCTTTCTTTCTAATTTTCCAACGACTCAAACTTTAAAGGAATGTCGTTAAAATTATTACTATTATTATTATTATCATTACTTTTACATTTACATTCTGCTTAATGTCGTCATTTAGCAATTTTCCATTTTTTTTGTGAAAAGTAACATACGTTTAGCAGACGACAAGAAAAAAAAATCGTACGAATAACGATCGTTAAAAATTTGAAAAAAAAAAAAAAAAAAAAATTAATTTTCTCCAATTAACTCGTTAAAAAAAATTATTATTATTATTATTATGTTCGTCGTAAAAAAAAAAAATTTTTTTTTTTTGTATAAAATTACAATTAAGTATAATGCATAAAAGATTTTAAATAATGGAGTCGGTAAATTACACGCACACGCACGCATGCACACACGAATATTCAGGTAGAAAGAACGAAATCGACGTCAGGTAGTCATTTTTTTATTTTTAATTTAATTACGTTTCCGCACCCCCCTCCCGGGAAATTTTATTTTCTGACACTCGGTAAAGACAATTTAATAACAGCACACGCACACACGTTCTACCCCCGCCCCTCACCCCGCTGCACCCCCCCAAAATTTATAACCGAAATTTAAAAAAAAAAAAACGCGACGACTTTACTTGTAATAATTCATCGTTATCAAGTTGTTATCATTGCCGTCCTTTTTTTTTTTTTTCATTAAAGCTTTGTTTTGTGCGGTTTTTGAAAAAAAATTGAAACCATTTCCGGTTTGTCGTTTATCGTTTTTTAAAAATCATTCTAACCCGCGAAAACTAATTTCTTTTTGAAAAAATTTAATTTCACACTCAATTACCCGTGAAATGATTTTTTTTTTTTTTGTTTCTCAAAAACCCTTTCAAATATATTTTACCGGGGGTTTTATCATCATCATCATCATCATCATCATCATCATCATCATTATTAAAGCCGTTAAAAAAAATCCTTTTTATAAAAAAAGAAAAAAAAAAAGTTTTTACCTTTAATCAAAAAAATTTGATTGTTCCTTTTCCACCAAGAGTTTTCACATTTTATTTCCGGTAACTAAAACATTCATTTTATTTCCGTTTTCCGTTTGATTTTAAATTTTCGTTACATTTCTATATTATTATCATCATTATTATTATTAATTTATCAACTTATCTGTAAAAAAATACAAAAATTAATGACGTCATCAATTCGATACATCATTTTTTTTTTACAAATTAAATTAATCGAAAAAAAAAAAACAATCAATTGCCTAAAAATAAAAATTCAATTTAAGATGATGATAATGATGATGATGATGATGATAATAATAATAATAATAATAATGATTTCAAGGTTTTTTATTAATTAATTTATTTGCAAAAGGCGTAATTAATCACGAGAGGGAAAAAAATAATAAGAGACAGGTGATTTATTTATAAATAATAATAATAATAATAATGATAATGATGATGATGATGAATGGCAGACATTACGTAATATCAAACGAGTTGAAGAAAAAGAAAAAAAAAAAAAAATTTATTACGTTTCATAAAAACAAAAACGTTTCGATTTAATCGGGTCGAAATGATTTTGCCATATTTTTTTTTTTTTTAAACAATAAAATCGAAACAAACAAACAAACAACAAAAGATTTACAAAAAAATTTTTAAAAAAAATCGATCGGTATTAATTACTATAATAATTTTTTTTTCGTTTTCTTACTCTATGATTTTTTTCCCCCATTTCCGACGGCGATTTTAACGTTTCGAACGTCCGCCATTTTTGTTTTTTTTACCCCGTCATTGTTGTTATAAAATTTATAGTTTTTGTTTGTTTTTTTTTGTTTGAGTAAAAACTTTTTGTCCTTTTTTTTTTTTTTTTTTTTTTTTTTAGATTTCAATTTGTTGCGTGAGTATGTTTGATGTATGTAACCAAAAAAAAAAAAAAAAATTACAGAGTTGATAAATAAAAAAAAAAAAACAAATAAAAAATGAATGTAACGAAAATTTTATACGTTATTCCTTTTTTGTAAAAAGTTTTTTTTTTTTTTTTTTTTCTTTAAAAAAAAAGGAAAATTCCTATTATTTCGGGGAATTTTTTTTTCTAAAAGGTTATAAAAAAAATGAAGGGAAAATTCTTAAAAGTTAACAAAAAAGGACGGAGGAAAAACATAAAAATTATTATTATTATACTACGCCGGGAATGCCCGCAAACTTTTTTTTAATGGAAGCAAAAAATACAAAAGCAAAACGTTAAACATTATTCTTCGATTCATTTTGTTTTTTTTTTTTTAAATTAACCGTACTATTATTAAACGTACTCGTTTCGATTGATTACTTTTTAATGTTACCCAAAAATTTTTTTTTCAAATTTTCCATTTTGTATTCCGTTAAAAAAAAAAAAAAACAAAATGGATTCCTAAACGGAAATAAAACATTAAAAAAATTTTGCATTAACGCGACATCTACAGTTTATTTTTATAAACATAAAAAACTGTTTTTTTGTTATCGAATGCAACGAGACGATTGAAATTTTACAAAGTAATTTTTTTTTTTTTCTCTCTTTCCTTCTCCATATAATTGCGAAATTATTAAAAGCTGTTGCTATATAAAATTTCGTCGAATTAAAAAAAAAATAAAATGAAAAATATATTTAAAAAAAAAAAAATAGGAAAATGTATTTTTTTATAATATGACAATTTATTATTACTTAGACGTTGATTTGTAAGTAAATCATCATTACTCGCTTTAATTTTTATTTTTCATCATTTCGAATTGTAACCAGTTAGGGTTAGAAATTGATTTTCAATGCCGGTTTTTTACTCGTTTTCCTTCTACATTTTTAATTTGAATTTATCATTTGACGAGACTTTGATATTTACTAGTTATTGAAATGTTTTTATGTTCTAACACTAAATATTCCGTACAATGTGTAATTATCCTATCTTATTTTTTTTTATTTAATTAAATTTCTTTTCCATATTCCTATTGCTTTTCCATTTAATTTTGTATTATGTGCAGACAAACATTTAAATAATTTAATAGATCAATTAATTGATTTTTAAACAAAAGGTTTTTAATATATTCTACAAAACATAACGATTTGTTTTTTTTTTTTTCTTTCAGTATAATTGAGAATAATAAAGTCGAAGTGGATATTTATAAACTAAAGCAAATTATCACAAGCTGTGTGAGAAAATTATTCGGAGAGGTTGTTAAATATTTTGAAATTATTTTAAATTAACACACTAATATTTTTAGTCATTGAAACCAAAAGTATTTTATGAATAAATAACTTATCGAGCAATTATGTGCATTAAATGATTTATCACATGTGAATTTGTTCGAAACTAATATGATTGTTTAATTTTTTTTTTTTAGGCAGGAGTCGGGAATCAAGTGGATATATTAAAATACGAGGCCAGCACAGGCCAAATTATATTACGCTGTTTTAGAGATTTTTATGTAAAATTAAGATCATCATTGTCATTTGGCAGTGAATTTGATGATATACATTATTCATTTTATGTCAAAAAGGCATCAGCATCCATTTTGACATTACTTTCCAATAATAAGCTTTATAAATTTTAAATAAATGTCTACATATAGGAAAGAGGGTAAAGACGTGATCATATTTGCAACACCCGAAGATCACAAAGAACCAAGTTCGGTTGTTTTACCCGAACCTGAACCTCAACCTGGTTTGATTTTACCTAATGGTGAAATAAATTGGAACTGCCCATGTCTAGGGGGAATGGCCACAGGGCCTTGTGGTGTAGAATTTAGAGAAGCATTTTCTTGTTTTCATAACAGTGAAGCTGAACCTAAGGGAAGCGATTGTTATGATGCTTTTAAAGAAATGCATTTATGTATGGCAGAATATCCACAATTGTATAGCAAATATGATGATGATGATGATGAACTTAATTTAGAAGCTGATAAAGTATTAGCAAATGAAAGCACTATGCCTAAAGAAGAACCGAAAATCACGACTCAAACTAAAATGGAAACCGACAAAACTGATAAACGTGTAGAAAATAAAGGTATTGTTCCTACAGAATCTAAAAAATCTTCCATAGCTTCCCCTGTCGAAGAAAAACTAAAAAATTAATATACTTAATGTAAATGCATCATCTCGAAAACAAATTTTTTTTTTTTTTTCCATTTTAGAATTTGTTAGTGTTTTAAGTAGTGAATTCAATTTTACATTACATTAATTATAGTAAATTTACATTATTATTTGTTCATTGTTGTATTTTTCAATTCATGATTAAAAAAGGGGGAAAACAAAAAAAAAGTAGCATAGAGTTACTTTAGAAGAGTTATAAATGTTTATCGTAAACCTAACCGGAGAATTATGTTGCAAAATAAAAATTTTCAGTTTTTTTTTTAAATATTCAAAATTTCACAAAACGTTGAAATTATTCTAACAAATATGAAAGTAATATTTTTTTTCAGAAATTAATTACAGTAATAAAGGTCGAATACGAATTTATTTTTGAATTATTTTGTATAGTGAAATATTAAAAAAAAAAAAAAAAAATCAAACTTTTATAAATTTTATTTTAGTCACAAATAAAATTTACAATAAAATTATTTGTTCAATATTGAAACTAATTGTCCTGAATTATTTTTTGAAAGTAATTTTCATTTTGATTTTTTAAAAAAATACATTAGAAATTCTTACCTTATTTTCTCTAATACTTTTCTTAAATTTTCTTTACCACATTTAAAAAAAAAATTGATGATAATAATTAAAAAGAAAAATTACAAAAAAAAAAAAAAAAAAAATTAACTAATTATGAAGTTAAAATCTTAAAAAACGTTTATCAAGTGGAGTCCTCTACCGGTGAATTTTATAACCAATTAGAATTCAGTCGACGCTGATTGACGTCAGCCGCTGGAACGGAAGTAGTTGTTCAGTTGTTTTGAAATCGAATTGCGTGAAAGTGTGTGTAGGTACTGTTCACCGCAAACAATTTGAGTTTAGGAGAAATTTGTTTACTCCTTAGCAGTGTCTAAGATTTAATGTATTTCTTCTAATCTTTAGTGTTTTTAATAAAAATTGGTTAACAGACAATGCATAAGTCTGTAAAACCAACGAAGGAGAAACGACGGTGAGTTTTCAATTTGTTTTTATCATATCCGCCATTTCTAATTCATATGTATTGCAATATAGGTCACCGAATGAGTATTTTTCCTCGTTGAAACAGTAAAATTTCGATTTAAAATCATGTAAAATGTTATTAAAATTATAAATATTTGAATTTGAGAATTATTAATGATGTTAGAGTAGTGTCATTAGACCCATGCTATCAACGTTATCAATGGTAAACATTGTAATTACCGTAGATTAGGTTCCATTTGGAACTCGGTCCTAGCATCATGCATATTGGCTATTTTAGATGTTACCCCGGGCAAATAGTCTGGTGATTATACAAGAAGATGTTATTTCTAATATTTAATTTTTATAATAACTTAAGGTTAAGTACAATGACCTTGATTTATGTTCTCAGAAGGGAAAGCAATTTTACTCATTTAAGTAAACAACTCATCGCTTAAATAATAATATTCAATTTAGTTTCGATTTTAAGCTATCAGTTTTTTTTTTTTTTCGATTATAAAAAATGTCAACTTAACTTAACATTGTTACAATTAATACAATTGAAAAGATGTTTGAATAATGGCTTTGACAACACTTGATTAAATTTTCATTTTTTTTTTCGTTATACATCTTGTGCAGTATAATAATCTCTTCCACATGATGAATCTGTAGTAACATGAGCTGAAACTATTTTTCACATATTTCTCCGACTAATATTATTAAAACTTATGGAAATTATATTTAAAATGCTGTTGCTTATTTTATAGCTTAACATATAGTCAGCTGTTTTGAATAGTTGGTGGTTACATTTAAAATGTTAATTTAATGTTTGTTAGTCGATTTTACATATCTTAACATCTCGAAATGCATTCATTTTGACCACACGACAAAATTTTGACAATTTTTATCATTTTCAAAGTGGGGTGGGGGGTGAAATAAAACATTTCATCATGTTTATAATTCAATAACATTCTTTATGTCTCGAATAGTTTGTGTTAACATTGCTCTAACTGAGGAAACCACTAAAACTCAAATTAACAAATAAAATTTTGTAACGATTTACTATGTAAAATAATACTGAACGATTGAAATGGTTACAAATTTAATATGAAATTTTTTTTTCTCTCTCTCATTTTAAAATTGATTTAAATTGATTAAAATTCTTAAATAACAACACATTGAATTTATTTTTAAATTTTTTATTAAAAAGTTAAATAAAATAGTAAACAATTTTTGAAAATAGCCAGATATAGATTAGATGGTTTTACTAAAATAAATGTTAAGGTGTGGTTATTGCTTAAATCGTTTTGAGAATGTTGCTGATTATTTTTCAAACAAGAGCTTTATCTGATTTGTAGCCTTAACCTTGAATTTTAGTGCTTTAGGGTGATAATTGTTTTAATTTTTAAGTGTGTGTGTGTGTGTGTGTTTCTATGCAAATATCTCTAAGTGCTTGCTATGTTTAGTTATGAAACTAAAAAAAATATTATGTACATATATATATATATATATAAATAAGAATATAAAATCTGCAAAACAATATTTCTTCTATTAACTTCACTCTTTGATGAAATTTAATTTTGAGGATTCCCTTTTTCAATTTTCACATTTTAGTTAATGAATGGATTTTAATTTTTACATTTATATTGGGTTCTTTCGGTTATTCACTTGTTTAACTTAATTTAATTCATTATTATTCCCACAATAAGTAAAAAAAAAAAAAAAGTTTCTAACTTATCTGATACTTTTTTGGCATGTAACAAATTTCATTGGCAGCATTTTGTAAAATGTTTGCAAAAAAAAAAAAAAAAAAAAAAGTTAACAGGGCCAAAATTTCCATTCGAATTCTTATTTAAATTTTTTTTTTTTTTTTTTTTTTTTTAAATACTATGAAAAGGTATAAATTTGATTTATTAAACCTTTTGAAAATCTTTTATTTGGTTGTAGAGAGTAAGAAAATTATAATTAAACAATTTTGAGGATCCTATAATTTATTTCATTGTTTTTGTCTTTGTGCAAATTGATTTTTCTATTTAAAAATGGATGTCAAATTAAAATTTTTTAATTGTGACCAATTTGGGATTTGTTTGTTTGTTTGTTTGTTTGTTTGTTTGTCAATCACTTTGCAATGTTAAAAAAAAAGCCACACAACTTTGAGGTTTTTTTTTTCTTCTTTCTCTTTCTCCCCACAACCCCACAAATTTTTTTTTTTATATTTTTATTTTTTAATGGAACTCTTGTGTTGGTCAATAAAAAATGTCGGGCGAATATCGTAGGGGGAGGGGGAGAGGAGGGAAAGGGGGTAAATAATTTTGGCACAGTCGAAGGCTTTGATAATTTCATTTATGAAAAACATTCATCATCATAATTCATTCCTTTAGGTTAAATGTTAAATGTGGTTATTATTATTATTATTTTATTTTTCTAAGGGTTTTAAAGGGTAATTCAGATTCGTACGTCATCATCGCATTCTTTTATTAAAAATTTTAAACGGGGGGAAAAAAAAAAAAAAATTTATTTTTTGTCGAAAATAATAAATAAATAATTTATAATTATGAAATTAATTTTAGCGCAGACAACAAAATTACAATTAAATTTATTTTTGCGGGAGCTTGTTCGACTCCTCTAAAAATATCGCAGTTCATTTAAATATAAACATTTCGAACTATTTTTTTTTTTTTTTTTTTTTTTTTTATTTCGGTTTGTTTAGTTTCCGCTTATTCCCGAGGAAAAAAAAAAAAAAAAAAAAAAAATTCCCCCCCCCCCCCTCTCTCTCTCTCTTTCCCCCCAAGCCATAAGTTTTAAAGTCAAAAACAAACCGGGAAATTTTTACTATGACGACAATAAAATTACGATTGCGACAAGTAAGAGTTGTTGATCTTTTTGAACTTTTTTTTTATTTTTTCCAGCGATTATTATCATTATTATTATTAATAATTTTCTAACGGTGTATACAATTCACACTCACTGTCCATGCACGAGTGTGTGTGTGTGTAATTTTGACGGACAAAAATTTGTTTGTTGGCCGTGGTCGAGGTTCGATTGTAATAATCGAAATTACGTTTTCGAAACGAACGATATTTTTTAGCCAGCCATATTATTCGAGTAGTAATGAAAAATTCGATCGAAATTCTTTCCGAATAATAAATAATAATAATAATAATAATAATAATAATAATAATAATAATAATATTTTTTGCCAAAGTTTATAATTATAAATTTTTGTTTTCTTTTAATAAGTGTTACGTCACGACAACTTTCTTTTATTTTCGTTTTTCAAAACGTTCTGTGATGGATATCAAAAATTAAAAAATAAAAAAAACAATCCGAGGATCCGTTTTTGGAATTGATTATGACCATATGAACGCACGCACAAGCACACGCACACACACACACACACTCACGCACGACTTTAAATTATTTCGAATCTCCTCCGAAAGGTTTATCCCATCGATATAGGATCGAATCTTTGCGTCTTTCCTTGAGGTTACTTAATTAAATGTTTATTATTATTGTTATTATTATCATTATTATTTATTTATTTAAACGTACGATTTCCTGTGGGCAAACGTGAAATTCATCATTCTATTCCCTTTTTTTTCTCTCTCTTTCTCTCTCTCTCGCACGCCATGATCTGCATTAAATCTTGGCTTTGGTATTGTCTTTTTTTTTCTTTTTCGCATGATTTGAATAAACAAAACGGAATTTATTAAATTATTTATTACCGCACGGAAAAACGAAATGAGGAAATTAGTCGAAAATCAATATGGCGTGAAAAAAAAAAAAAAAAATTACGAAAGGCACTATTGAAAAAAGAAAGAAAAGCGAATTGAAAAAATGAAGAATAGAGAGCATGTAGTCGAGATGATTATTGTTATTATCATTATTATGTTTTAAAATTTATTTAAAATAATATTTGCGATTCTTCCCCCCCCACACACACACGCACGCACCCTCCTCCTCCTCCTCCCCCCCCGCCCGCCCATGTCGGCACGACTAGAATTTGTTTTTTGGTTTTTAAATCATAACAAAGGTTTATGACCCCTGAGTATCAAAAGTCGACAATGATAAGTCATTATTATTATTATTAATATCATTTTTTTCTTTTTTTTT